AACGGAGGTAGAAAGTTGAGAAAGAACTACTTAAACTTGATTGATAGATTGAAGGAGCGAGAGGGTCATGTTGAGCCACTCTCCGAAATAAGGTGATGGTTCTAACTTCACTCACCCTCGTCAAACACTTTAGATTTAGCTCATCAACCAAATCAGACGTTCGAGATTACTCAGCTTCCGTCATGTCTTTCTTTGGCTTGTTAAACGTTAATGACCCTAGACTGAGAGGTTAGGGAAGGTGGTTTCGTATCTTATTTACACAATTACAAGCTCACGTCTCATTATTTTTAATCCATACTTGTTTACGGACTTACGCAGTCTCGGTCAGGCCTTATTCTTTGGCCATTAAACCTTGATGATCAGAGCCTCACATTAGCTTTTTTGATCTCTCGGATTTAGAATCGGTTTACATATAGACTTTAACACACACATACACACTCAAGCAAAAGCAGTAGGACTATTATGAAAGACAATTATCCGAACCCTTCTATATCCATCTATGTCTTTTAATTTTATTTTCCTTAATTCATTCTGTATAAGTGGTAAACTAGAGCCGGATAGTTTTCTTGACCGATTGTTAACTTTTACAAAAGTGAGTTCCATTTCTGATTATGTCCGTGAAATGCTGGACGAAAGTTCAGTCCGTTTCCACCCGATGCGAGGGAAGATGTCTCGTGAACTGCGTCAACCTGAACGTCGTGGTCAAGCTAACCGACTGCAGTACCACGGTCGTCTTTCGGTGAGATCGACCTTCGGATCTCTTCTTCATGCACTTTCATACGATATGAAGGTCTGCCCAACGATGTTATCTCGGGAGCTTCGACGAAGCCCAGCGACTCTTCGTATCATACAAATCATATTTTGATTATAAGTTAAAAGGAGAGACATAGTATTGAAATGGCAGAATAACGGGGATCGGTCATCGTTTTCTCGTGAGATCAACGCATAAATATGTTCTCTTGTGCAATTTCATACAAAATGAATTTCTCCCCACTCTGTAATATCTTTATTTAATCCCACTTAAAGCACGAAAGTCTGTATTTTCATACTGTATGAAGGTGAAAACAAGATGAAAAGCATCCATTGCCTATCTCAGATGAACGGTTTGGCGCCCACTTATCTCGGGATCCGGTGCAGTACAGTCGAGCTATTCGCAGTGATTGATGCCGCGCCACACGTAGCAGTTGCCACTGCAACACTCAGCTTGAATATGGCAGAAATGGGTCGAAGGAAGGCATTTCATGCATCTGCCACGACGGAAGATGGTCCGGTTGCACACCAGCTTTCCGCAGCACTCAGAGTCGCCAGTATAGCAGAAGCCGCCCCGACGAACACAGTTGACTTTTGAGGGGAAAATGAGAGTTGTGTGAAAAAAGGGCAAGATCAGACGGAACAGGGACGTGAACAAACGAAAGAGGCTCATTCGGTACCAGTAATTGGTTCAGATGGGCTGAGGCATTGTGATTGTGGCGCACTTTCATAGTCAAAAGAGCAAAAGGGGACTTTGGTTTCCAATTCTTTTGATAGACTAGTCCATGGGGGGAGGATGGTTATTTCAGCTGAAGCAACTTCACTTTTCAGTAACCATGCAAGTAAGGCATGAAATATCAAACTAGATTATGATATACCCCATAAATAAAAGGCTTACCAACGTCAATTATTGCTAATTATTAATTATTTTCTACTTACCTTTTCTTCAAATATCTTGCAGCTGTCCCTGCCATTTACATTTGCAAGAAAGTCATAATTTTTATTTTAACCCTATTTTTCTTCATATGCAAAATTGGTGATGTCTAACATTATCATATTTGGTCAACTTTCGTCTTTTCCACGATGACAGACGCTGCCAGAGCGAGAGCATATTATTTTACAAAATTCCCTTGACACAAATATTATAAATAACCAAGCACAACTCGGAGTTGATGCTATTTTGGCTTTCATTCAGACCAGATTTAATTGGAAATGAAAAGTGCATTACCATAAAATTTCAATAAAGTGTAAAGATTAAAGTGATTTCAATAGACTAGATGAAGCCAATCTCGTGGGTTAAATAAGGCTTTTTCGTCAGCTCATCATTGTTGCATGGAGCAATCTAAAATGTAACACCTTCGTGGGGATCAAGGTTAATGATATATTTAATATGAGATTGTTTTGAATCTACACATAGTCCTTCAATAAGAATTTATTCAGCTTAGGTTACTTACGATTATTTAAGTACTGAGATTATAATTTGTTGCACAATGAAATGAGTAGACTTTACGAAACCAATTCAATTTCATACCCCGTTGAGGGTTCTGATCCCATCCAAACGAGGTCTAAATGACAATTGAGGCAGGATGTACAAACATTTCAGGAGGCAAAATTAATCGCAATTTAATGAAATAGTGTGAAAAACTTCAGAATCAGTTCTTATATCACTTTAAACGACCTTGTGTGACTGAGTTCTTATCCAAGAGCCAATGCTGTCACATAGGCCAATATACTCTTAGGCATATTGTGTTAAATAATATCTTTATTATATGAAATCTGGCCTCACAGACCTGATATAATTTATGAAAAAAACTAACTGTCAATAAAGATTTTCCTAAATAATCGGGCGGAGTTTCATAACATTCGGTTAACCACGACTTCGGATTTGGCAGTTACTGAAAAAAAACCCAGAAAATTGGGTGTGC